TAAGGCAAATGTGTTACTATTTAAATAGTTCCATATGTGATTTGATTGATACCATATCTTTCAAAAATCATATCTATTCCTGCTACACTCTTACTTAAAATTCAATAAAGGACTTAGTTATTTACATGATAAAAATCTGGATCCATAAATAAGACCAAGTAAGACCTAACTTAAAGGTTAAAAAACTGAAGTTCATTTGTCAGCTTCAGTGGTTCTGTGAACTCACTGGAATTCAATCCAAATATGATATGTGTGCTTTTCTCTGGGATTCTACTACTTTCATAAAGGGGTGGGTGGCCCATGTTGGTTAAAATTAGAGGTCTGTTATTTGCCTCTCTAAAACTCTAGTCATATGACAAATAAATCATTAGGAAAGGAAAACCAATATAGTTTCATGTACAAAAAAGTATTACAGACATACTTCATTTTATTGTGCTTCACAAATGTGATTTTTACAAATTGAAGACAAGCCCCTCCAACAGCAAAAAGATTATGACCTGCTTTATTGTGATACTTTATTGTGGTGGTCTGGAACCAAACCCACAATATCTCCAGGTATGCCTGTATTTAATGAATCCATACTTCTTCGAAGAAATTCAGTCAGAAATGTAATTAACACTGACCATTTAAAATGAATACCATTTAAACCAATCATTAGGCCCAGGGGAAGTGGCCTTATGTGGTTACTAGGTGTGACCTGGACTTTCTCCAGTTTTATATAAATGGAGTCTTTTTGGTTTAAATCAGACATTAGAGTTGATTTCTAGTTTCATGAACATTGAAGGCTAGAAGACAAGGATGTTTCTGAACTGTAGTGACCCTCTTACCAATGCAAAGCAAAGTCAGCCTCCTGTGACAGGTTTCAGTCAGTACCGCAGTCTGGGAACTGCTCACTCACTGGTGATGCTGAGAATTTTCCTGCTAAACATAGCTAGAGACCTGAGATTTCATGGTCTTGTGTAACATCTAAGCACAGGCCTGGGTCAGAGCATAGTGGTTTGTATTATCTTGAGGAACTGCCTTTCAAACAGCAGGACTGTGAACCTGAGGCCTGGGGAGTTAGTGTTATCAAATTTATGTTTGGAGGAGCAAGACGTCCTGAAACTGAGGAGTCCCTGGAAGCTCCGCCCTCTGAGACGGAGTCCAGACATTCATACCCAGGAGTAGGTTCTTAATAAATTGGATATGGAGCAATTATGGTTTCCATGCAGAAGAATCTCCAGATCCTGGTAAAGGGAAGCGCGAAGGATTATGAAGAGTTGGAGGATATACTGGAAGATACAGGATCCTCAGCTACAGAATGCGTTTGACTCTGTAAACGTGAGTGGTGTGAAGAAGGAATTTACTCTAAAAGTTTGGATGCTGAAATATCTTTTTCCTAACCTTTAGAGGAGAGGAGCATTCTAGAAACTGAGAGTGTCAACAGAGAAGGTCTTCAGAAGAATGTGAGCAGTCCCAAAGGAACACAAGAAGGCAGTGCCTCTGTTCCCAAGGACTCAAAGAGATACCATGCAATCTGATCTCCCTAAGACAGCGTCAGTTCAGTTCTGTCTTTTAAAAAAGTTACTTCTTAATGTTTATTGAGTCACAGTGGGATTAACTGGCCATATTTTGGTCACAATAAAGTACCATGGAACTGACACAATGCCAATGTAGGGTATGTGAGGAAAGCTGAATCTCAATTTGACATCCATCAGAGAACACAGGTAGGAGAGAGGATCTTAGGGGAAAGGCTTCGTTCGGTGATGTTCACCAGAGAATCACACAGAAAAGAAACCAGATACGTGATATCTTTCACAAAAAATGTATTCATGACTCAACATTGCATGACCATAAGAAGATCCATTTGAAAGAAAAAATGTACCTCTGTAAAGATTCTGGGAAATGCGTCAACGGCAAGGGAAACCTCAATGCTCACTAAAGAACCTTCTTAGGAACTAAACCATATGAGTGTCTCTAGCAGTGCTAGGAAATAGAAATATAATGTGAATCACAAATGTGAGCCACATTTATAATCAACATTTTCTAGTAGCCAAGTTTAAAAGTAAAAAGAAACAGGTGAGCCCTGGCCGGTTTGGCTCAGCGGTTAGAGCGTCGACCTGCGGTCCGGAGAGACCCGGGTTCGGTTCCCGCTAAGGGCGCGTACTTCGGTTGCAGTTTGTCCCCGGCCCTGGTCGGTCATGCGGGTGGCAGCCACTTGATGTGTTCCTTTCACATCGATGTTTTTCTCTCTCTCTCTCTGTTCCTCTCTCCCTCCCACTCTACCTGAACAAAAAAATGGGAAAATGTCCTTGGGTGAGGATAAAAAAAAAAAAAAGAAACAGGTGATATTAATTTTAACAATATATTTTATGTAACTACACATACAAAAATATTATTTTGATATGTAATCAATATAAAACATTATATATAATATTTTATATTCTTTTTTGTGTCCTAAGTCTCTTATTTATTTAAATATTTTTTTCTTTATTGATTTTAGAGAGAGAGAGGAAGGGAGAGGGAGAGAGAGATAGAAACATTGATGAGAGAGAACATCGATTGGTAGCCTCCTGCGTGGGGATCGGACCCACAACCTGGGTATGTGCCCTGACTGGGAATCGAACTGGCGACCTCTTGGTGCATGGGTTGACGCTCAACCACTGAGCCTCACCAGCCAGGCTGTCCTAAGTCTTTTAAATCCAGTGTGTATTTTATACTTAGCACATCTCTGTTTGGATTCACCACATTTTAGTGCTCAGTAGCCACCTGTCGCTGTTAGCCACTGTATCGGACAGCATTGCCAAACCTTTCATCAGCTGGAAAACTTTACATCCCATAAAAGAGTACATTCAATAGCACCTCACATAATTGTACCAACTGATGTAAATTAATGAAGCCCAAGTCCTTGTCTTAGCCCCAAAATAAGGTTAACAGCAATTTGTAACTTACTCTTATTTTGGAAAGCAAATGACATAATCCATGCTAAGCACTTAGGAGAATACATAGCTTACAATAAGTACTACGAAATATTAACAACCGTGACTAAAATATAATTATTTTTTATTTAACAAATATCTTTTTTTTTTTTAAGATTTTTTTTCTAGTTCCTAGGGAGATCCTTATACAAAAAGGGAAGGGTGATCTGTGGACGAATCTGGAGGGCATTATGCTGAGTGAAACAAGCCAGACAAAGGAAGACAAATAATATGGTATCACTTATATGTGGAATCTAAAAAAAAAAAACAGAAACAAAGTTGAGCTCATAGAAACTAAGAGTACATTGGTGGTTGCCAGGGGCTGGGTGGTAGAGGAAATGGGAAGAAGTTGGCCAAAGGGTACAAACTTCCATTTATAAGATGAATAAGTTCAGAGGAGCTAATGAACATCATGCTGACTATAGCTAACCATGTGGTACTATATACTTGAAATATGCTAACAGAGTAGATCTTCAGCATTCTCACCAAGAATAATAATAATAATGATAATAATTTAGTAGATGATAGTAGGACAATTATTTAACTATAGACTGCTTAAATGTATTCCAAAAGGATGGACTTAAATATAAAAGCAATAAAGAACTAGAAATAAGTATTCTCATAAATTGGGAGAATGTGAATTGCCTGGGAACCTGCAGTGAGGGAAGGACCACTGCTGCTACTTCGCTCTCCTCCGCCTGCCTGCCCGCCCGTCTTCTTCCTGCATCACGACTGGGTGCAGGGCAAAGATAGGAGGCAACAGTCCTGCTTTACTGACTTTCCTGTGATTCTCTTTGAGCTATTGCAGTAAAAAAAAATGTGCCATGTGAAGTCATGATATATTAATTAACTTGATTTGGCAGTCATTTCACAATGTATAGTGAAATACATGGCATTGTACACTTTTTTTTTTTTTTATCCTCACCCGAGGAAACCCTTCCATTTTTTGTTCAGATAGAGTGGGAGGGAGAGAGAGAAACATCGATGTGAAAGAGACACATCGAGTGGCTGCCACCCACATGACCCCAACTGGGGCTGGCGACACACTGCAACCAAGGCACGTGCCCTTAGCGGGAACCGAACCCGGGTCTCTCCGGACCGCAGGCCAATGCTCTAACCGCTGAGCACGTCAGTAAAGCTAATGCTGGAAAAAAATCCTACTTCACAATTTTTTTTTTTATCCTCACCTGAGGACATTTCTCCATTTTTTTGTTCAGATAGAGTGGGAGGGAGGGAGGGAGAGAGGGGGAGAGAGAGAGAGAGAGACAGAGAGAGAGACAGAGAGAGAAACATTGACATGAAAGGGACACATCGAGTGGCTGCCTCCCGCATGACCCAACCAGGGCCGAGGACAAACTGTAACCGAGGTACGCGCTCTTAGCGGGAACCGAACCCAGGTCTCTCTGGACCTCAGGCTGACGCTCTAACCGCTGTCCAGGGCCTATTTTACAATTAAAAAAATTACTCATAAGGAAAAAAAAATAAAACAAAGGGCAAGGTATTCTTTTTTGACATACTATCCTCCTGCCTCTTACAGGAATAAGGAAAAGTTCAAGTTCTATTCCCTACTCCCATTAACTTTGTTTGAATGGGAGTTATTTGTTCTGATTGGTCCCCTGGCCCACTTCTTTGAATGGCTGATTCATTTCATATGTCTGGTTATTCATTGTCTGGAATAATAATTCATGGTCTGCTAATATTTATAAATGAAGGACTTGATTATTCAGTATGGATAACTAACGTGGTCACTGCCTGCAATTATGTGGACTAATGTTTGTTTTTTCCTGATTGATTCCCCCCCAAGTGTGTGTAGTTAGGCGATTAATACGTTGCTTTTTTTTTTATTTTTTCAGCTTTACTTCTCCTTTATGGGAGGTGTGGCTTGTAGGCCTCTTCTTGGCTCTGTTGTAGACTGAGCTGGCTGGCTACTGTTCAGTATGTGTGTCAAGTGTTCAATTATTTAAAAATGGTAGAATTAAGCACTTCATTAGAATATTTGCTTTGTATCTATAACATTTAACATGATGTAATATTTCTTTATAGGAATACACATGGTTTGATAAAGGCCATTGTGAAATTGTTACAAATGCAAGCTGTTAAGGAAGGACAAGCCGGGGAGAAGAATATTCAGAATATATATTCTGTTAGGTAAGCTTTTTACCTTTTCTTTACAAAATGTTTTTTATTGTGTAAATTGTTAAATTATGAACTGAGACATGCTAATCCATTATGAATAGTTATTTCAGTCCTAGCCAGTTTGACTCAGCATTTAGAGCATCAGCACACAGACCAAAGGGTCACGGGTTTGATTCCTGATCAAGGGCACATACCTGGGTTGCAGGTTTGATCCCTGGCTCTGGTTAGGGTTGTGCAGAGGCAACCAATCAATGTATGTTTCTTACCTCACTGTTTCTCTCTCTCTCTCTCTCTCTCTCACTCTCTCTCTACTTCTCTCTCCTTCTCTCCCTCTCCGTCCCTCCCTTCCGCCCTCCCATTCTACCTAAAAATTGATGGAAAAATATCCTTGGGTGAGAATTAACAAAACAACAACAAAAGAATAGTTATTTCAGAGATTGAGCAAATGTACTTATATAGCAGGAGGGTAAACTTCCTCACTATGAAAACTAATAGGAGACTAGCAAAGGGTTATTACCCAGGGCAAATCAGTAGTTAGGGGCATTGATTTGCCTTTTCTTTGTCATTTATAGAATGTAACATGGTAGAATTGTTTTAAAAAGAAAAATCACCACAGCAACAATTATAGTTGCTGAAATGCATTGGATTTTATGGGGGAGTTATGGACAAAGGATGGCGTCATACTTACTTGTGAAGGTGACTTTAACCGTTGCCTTGAAAGTCCTAGAAAGCCATTTTTTAAGACAGAAGCTCTCACTTGTGAGCAGAGGACCCCAGAGGATGCCAGTAATCAACTTATACTGTCTTAGGAACTCTGTTTAGTAATGCATCCAGAATGTGCCTACTTCAAAAGAATGAGAATGTGGGACCATAACCAAGGAGATGGGTTCATGGTGGAACCATGTCTTACATGGGCTATGGCAATTCAACAGGGAAAGTAAATCACATACTGTACTTGTGAATCCTCATTGGCTTGAGCAAACAGCACCTATAGTTCTGAGCATTTGACACCTCAGCAATCAGAAGCTGTGAGAAAGTCTCTCTAAAATGTTGAGTGCTGCCTACTTATGTATATTTATAGTGCTTTCCTTTTGAGAATAAGTCAACAGTGTCTCATGTATTACAGTGATTTTTCCTGAAATTTTAGTGCTGTTTATGATCTCTTTTATTTTTAGGAGTACATTATCCGGAGATTTTTAAGCCAAATTTTAACAAGGTCATATTTGCATTTACATATTTTTTTCTTAACATGTTCTTTGAATGTCTTTAAACATGGAAAAGTTGGAAGAATGTAATACAATGAATTAGCAAATTCATTAATTTATTTGTTAACTCATTAATTTATTTTTAAATAGGAGAAGCAAAAGGAAAATTATTTACTATTTGAAAATACTGTGGAAACTTGGGGTGTGCAGAGTAAACTTTTCAAAATTGATAAATATGCTTTTCTTTTTTTAACATAGTGGTGCCTCCTGAGACACAATGTTTTATTTCAGATTTGTCTTTCACCCATTATCTTAACCAGAGTTGAACCTAAGTAGTAGATGAACAGATCTTACATTTCTGGATGAGTCATATGAACATCTGTGTTTTTTGTCTTTTTTAAAAGAAGTTCAAACTCTTGGGCCAGTTTCATGATAGAAAACGATTTTATTTCATTATTGTTCACTGGGAGTTATATATTTATTTATTTTAAGATAGAAAAGTTATTGAAGTTTTTAATTTATCTTTTTAAATGTAAGTTTTATGACCCATTAAAAACATACAATTCCCATTGTGTTTAGTATATTTGTAGAATTATGCAACCATAACCATAATAATTAATTCCAGGACATTTCCATCATTCCAAAAAGAAGCTCTGGCCAGTGGGGCTCAGGTGGTTGAGTTTCATCCCATGTGCCCAGAGGTCACTGAGGTTGCAATTTCATTTCCTGGTCAGGGCACATGCCCGGGTTTCTGGCTTGATCTCTAGTAGGGGATGTGCAGGAGGCAGCCAATCGGGTTCTCTCTCATTGATGTTTCTCTCTCTCAAATCAATAAAAACATATTTTAGAAAAAGAAAGAAACACCTCATCCATTAGCTGTTGCTGAATATTTCCCTCCACTCAGTGGGGTGTTTTTAATGGAACGGTTCTCAACCCTGGCTGCTCATTAGAGCCATCTGGGAGTGGAACATACCAAAAATCAAATACCCCAGACCAACTGAATCGGAATCTCTGCCATAAAGCCTAAGTATTTGTATTTTTCAAAAGGCTGAAGTGATTCTGATTCCCAGTGAATACAAGATGGTTTGTTAGCTGCTCTTTGGTGCACATTCTCATCACCTGGGTCTGCTGAAGGGCCGATTCTTTCCTCAGGGCTAGGGTGGGCTCCAGATCCTTCTCTGACCAGCTCCCAGGCGCTCCTGACGCTGACACTGCTGATTCCCACCCTACTGTAAGCAGCGTCAGCAGTCCGTGGGGCTTGTTGGGAATGCTGACTCTCGGACTCCATCTCAGACTACCTGAACCAGCCCGCGGTCTGATTTTTCAGGTAATTTAGAGGTACCTTAATGTTGAAGAAACCCTGGTTTAGACAGCGGTAAAGGGAAATTTTCTATCATGCAAAAGAAATCGAGTTACTCTCATGCTCACACTGATTGCCCTCACTGTGTGTGAGTGCTAGAACTTCAGTCCTCTGTATTGTTTCACTTGTTTTTCTTTTTATAATTTATATTCTCCCGTAGTTGGTTCTCCTAACTGCAGTCTTGTTTTCCAAAGAGAGTAGATGCTAGGTGCAGATAGGGAGCCTAGTTCAAAGAGCTTAAAGACTTGCCTTTAGAGTGCTGGCACATTAAGAGGTCCAGAATCAGTCACCTGAGTCGGCATAATCCAGTCATGTTTGTGGAGAGCCTTTATGTGAATGGCTGTTTGGCACTATAAATCAGTAGAGTGTAATCGAGTATATAAGAGCCTTAAGTTCCTCCAGGGGGGGGTGTGGATGGCAGAAACGGAGGAGAGGTGAGCCTGAAGAGCAGATTCCCCTCAAGAGAGCTATGATTATCTGAGTTGAGCATGAAATTGCCATGCTGTTTGAGAGCCTTCTTTGCTGCCTGTTGGTTAGCAGCAGCATCCAGTTCTGGAGGGGCAGCTGATGAGCTGTGTTTGAAAGCATCGAAAGGACATAAGAAGCTTAGTGGTGTTCCCCGGTTATGCTGTAGGATTAATTTAAAATGGAAGTGTTATGAAACATAATTATAAGTTTTCTGGGCATGGGTCTAATATGTATTTTTCATGGTATTAAGGACTCTGCTGGTAAACAGTCGGGTTTTAAGTATTTCTCACTCTTTTTGTCTTAAGAGCTCATTTGAATTACAGTAAAACCGAATATGTGGTTATTTTAAGTGAGTCTGTGCTGAATTGCACAACTCATGCCAGTATGGGCGTGACGAGAGGGGGGCAAGTGAGGACCCGGAATGCTAGCCAGAGGCTTCCTTGCTCCCGTGAATTTCCCGAAGGACCTCTAGAGAGGGTGTTCTCTTTGTTGGACCCAGACCTCAGTGCTTTTCAATCTTCCTGTGCATAAGAATCATTTGGGGAGCTTATTAAAAGGACAGCTTCTCAAGCCCACTTAAGAGAGATTCTCATTTCATTCAGTAGGTTTTGTGTGAGATTCAGAATCAGCATGTTTGTCTGGCTGGTCAGTGATACAGATATAGGTCGCTTGAGAATCACACTTGAGCAATACTGCTTGAGATCCTGGGAGCTTAATAGTACCACGTATGACCTTCAAGGAACCCCTCGGGGTACACTAGGGGTTGCTTCTTGAGTCTCCTTGCCTTTGTTTCCTTGTGGAAGGCAAAAAGTCTGTATGTTCCTAAGCCCCCGTGCACCAAGTTCATCGTATTATGTCCCCTGTGGTCAATAGAGTGACCAAGAGCAGAACCAAAGAATGATTCTAAAGGAAAAGCAATTCAATAAGAGCAAGCCAGGTGCAGCTGCAAGTGAGAGAATGTAAGAGATTTAAATCTCATTGCTCTGTTGAATGAAATAATGCCATGGCCCGAACACAGCAGTGTTCTTCCTGGTAGGTGGTGGTTGGTTGTCCGAGCAGGAGGCGAGGACAGCCCTCAGCACCCTCCTAGCAATCACCACTGGTTTTTACTGTCTACAGTGCATAAAGAGCTCACCCTCAGTGTTTGATATGTGTGTGTGGAACATGTCTGCAAACCTGCATTTTAATAAGAGATTTGGATGTACGGGTGGTTTACTGGCCATGCTTTGAGATACACTAGATCATGGTGTGTGTAGCTAATGAAGTTCATGTTGCTTACTGGACCCTTTTTTAATTTTGTGGCTTAAACAAGATTAAATGCTTTGCTTTTTCCTACCACCCTAATCTCTCACCAGTGGATTTCATGTAACCCATGTGCATCTTCTCTTTGCATTGTAATGTATAAAATAATGTATAAAATAAGGTGTTTCTCTGGAACATTATCTCAATGTGTTACAGTTGTTGACAGTTTGACTCCAATAACAAAAATCCTTAAAAAACATCTATATCAAATCTATATCTATATCTATATCTATATCTATATCTATATCTATATCTATATCTATCTATATCATCTATATCTAGATCTATATCTGTATCTATTTATCTATTAAATGGGGATATTTAAGTAGGGTTGCAACTCCCACTGCCTTTTAGGATGGGCGTAATTGGAAGAACAATGCAGTACATTTGACTACTGTGATTAAATGAAGAGCATATGCCAGATATAAAATTTTAGGTCATGAGTATGAACCCTGAAGCACATTAGAACCCTCTGAGGAACTTTGAGATACGCAGATGCCTGGGCTCTACCTGGAAATGACTCAGTGTCAGCCTCAGACACTGGTCTTTTTTCAAAGCTTCCTGGGTGGTTTCGGAGGCACCCGTAGGGTGAGAACTGCTGGCTAATTGTTGCAATGAGGAAATGAGAGTTCATGGTTGCCATACTTGCAGATCTTTCAGGATTAATAACATTTTAT